GAGTCTCACAGACTTTCCTGCCCAGGCTGGCTTTGAACCTCGATCCTCAGATCTCAGCCTCCTGAGTAGCTAGGATTACAGGTGTGAGCCACCAGTGCCCGGCTGTGGTTTTGTTTTTGTTTGGGGCAATACTAGAGTTTGAACTCAGGGCTCCAAGCTTGCTGGACAAGCATTCTATCACTTGAGCCACACCCCCAGTCCTTTCTGATTTAGTTATAGAAAGACAGGATCTTAATGATTTCTTTTAGGAGCAGGCTTCTGAATGAGATTCTCTTACCTCTTCCTCCCAAGTAATAGGAAGAATTATAGGAATAGGCCAGTGTGTTTGGCACTTAGGCAGTTTATATTATTCATCTTTATGTTTCCAGTGCCTAACACAGAGCATATATTTTACTAATTTTTTTGTCAGTTATGGGGCTTGAACTGAGGGCCTGGGTGCTGTCCCTGAGCTCTTTTGCTCAAAGCTAGTGCTCTAGCACTTTGAACCACAGTGCCACTCCTTCTGGTGGTTAATTTGAGATAAGAGTCTCATGGACTTCCCTGCCTGGACTGGCTTTGAACTATGATCCTCAGATCTCAGCCTCCTGAGTAGCTAGGATTACAGGTATGACCCACCAGCATCCAGCTTAAATATTTGTTGATTAAAGGATAACAGAAAAAAAGAAGGAAGGAGAATTTCCAAGGGATCTCTGTGCTCAACAGAACAGAAAGGGTGCTCTGTTCTTGTCACCTACCTGGTTTAGTGCCACATGCATTTGATCTACCAAGAACACATAAAGCTCGCTGATAAATGTCTGCAGTTCTTCCTGGCTTTCAAAGGATGCTGTCCTCAAATATTTCTCTCTCACAATCTTCACCACAGCATGCTGTAAAACATAAACATTGCCCCCCCACACCGTGATAGCACAGTCCAGCAGCAGGCTGGACCAGGTTTCCCTAGGTCTTTTGGTTTTAGGCTCCCCCCACAACAAAAAAAATTCTGATAATGATTAGTCTTTTGCCTGATGACAGCTAGACTAGTAGTTCCCTAGGGCTCCTTCAACAGGCTCAGCAGGATTTCTTCCTGATGCCACCATCATCACTAATAGGGACAATGCAGAATTCATACCAAGAGAAGAGAGGCCAATACTTGAAGACAATCTTAGCAGGTTTATGCTTTCCCTCATAGTGGCTATGTGGTTCATGAAGGAAGACCTGGAGGGAAACACTGGGAGAGTGCAAGGGAAGTGGGGGGCGGACATTGTCCAAAAGAAATGTATTCTTTACCTAACGTATGTAACTGTAACCCCTCTGTACATCACCTTTATAATAACAATGAAAAAGTAAGAATACTTGTCTAGAGTCCAGAGAATAGAATTCCATTTTATTTTATTTTATTCTTTTTGCCGGTCATGGGGCCTGAACTCTGGGCCTGGGCGCTGTCCCTCAGCTCTTCAGCTCAAGGCTAGTGCTCTACCACTGGAGCCACAGCGCTACTTCTGGCTTTTTCTGTTTATGTGGTGCTGAGGAATCGAACCCAGGGCCTCATGCTTGCAAGACATGCACTCTACCGCTGAGCTACCTTCCCAGCCCCTAGAATTCCATTTTAAATGCTGCTAATGTCCAACCTCATACATTATACTTTGGTACCTCCCTCATTTGTTAAATGGATATATGGCTCAGGTGTTATTTTACTCTGAAAATTGATTGAGGCTGGGTCCTGGTGGCTCAACCTATAAGCCTAGCTACTCAGTGCAGGCAGGAAAGTCCATGAAACTCTTATCTCCAATTAACCAACAGAAAACTGGAAGTGGAATATGGCTCAAAATGGTAGAACACTAGCCTTGACCAAAAGAGCTCAAGGACAGCACCCATGCCTTGAGTTCAAGCCCCACAACTGACTAAATAAATAAATAAATTGACTGATTGATTAACTGGTTGAAAAGCCAAGAAAAGAAAGCAGAAATAAAAGATTAAAACATGACAGAAATATAGTTGCCCCCGTTTTTTATCTGGTGGTAGAACTTGAACTCTGGGCCTGGATGCTGTCCCTGAGCTTTAACTCAAGGTAAGTGCTCTACCACTTGAGCTACAGTGTCCACTTCTGGCTTTTTCTGTGTATGTTGTGCTGAGGAATTGAACTCAGGGCCTCATGCATGAAGGGCAAGCACTCTACCACTGAGCCACCTTCCCAGCCCTAGTTGCTCTTCATTATCTGCAGGTTCAGTTATCTATGGCTAACTGCAGTCTGAAAACAAGTGGAAAATTCCACAAGTAAATCCCTATGTTTTAAGTTGCACATTATTTGGAATAATGGGATAAAATGTTACATTGCCTCACTCCATCTTGCCCCAGCCATAGTTCGTTTCTTGGCGCCTTATTTCCATATGTATGCGCTACCCATCCATTCATCATAGTAACCATCTTGTTATCAGATCATCATGTGTCACAGTGCTCATGTTTAAACTTTATTTTATCTTCTAGAGGCACCAAGCATGAGAGTAATGATGTCAGCAATTTGCATAATCCAAAGAGACCCCCAAAATTGCTTCATTTAAGTGAAAAGTCATAGATTTGCATGCAGAGGAGAAAACACTATAAACATAGGATTCAGTATTATGCAGTGTTAAGACATCTCCTGAGAATCTTGGGACTGCACAGATAAAGGGAGATAATGTATAATGTATAGATATTGGAAGTTGGGATGACCAAGAAACTTTTTTTTTCTTTCTAAACTACCATTATTGCTAAGTTTTATAGTAAGCACCTTCATGCATCCTAATGACCTACATTATAATGTTAATATTATCTCCAATTAATCACAGAAAAAGCTGGAAGTAGCATTGTGGCTCAAGTGGTACAGTGCTAGTCTTCAGCAAAAAAAGGAGCTTAGGGACAGTGCCCAGGCCCAGAGTTCAAGCCCTAGGACCAGAAAAAAAAAGTGCAAGTCTCTCAGTTCAAACACAAGTACCACCAAAACAAAACAAAATCAAACAAAAACCAGGCACTAGTTCTCAAATCTTAGTGCCTCTATGGATAAGGAGAGGTTTGAATAGGAGGTAGAACCAGTTACAGTCAGTAACAGAGTTTCCGCCTCCAGAGGAACATGGAATCTGTTCAAAGTCTAGCCTCACCTCAAGTGAAGAATTAGTCTCTAGTTGGGCACTGGTGGCTCAGGACTATAATCCCAGCTAGTTAGAAGGCTGAGATCTGAGGATTGGGTTCAAAACAAGTCCAGGCAGGAAACTCCATGAGACTCTTATCTCCAATACACTACTCAGAAAAGGCCAGAAGTGGCTCTGTGTCTCAAAGTGGTAGAGCACTAGTCCTGAGTAGAATAGCTCAAGGACAGTTCCCAGGCCCTAAGTTCAAGCCCCTTGACTGACAAAAACAAAATGCCAGTAGAAGATCTATTTCTATAGTCTTATACTAGCTTAGTATCCATTCTGCATGTGAGATTGTTGGAGACTAATTTTTTTATGCTGGTGCTGTGGTTTGAACTCAGGTTCTGGGCATTCTCTTTGAGCTTCTTTGGCTCAAGGCTAGCACTTTACCATATTAGCCCTGGTGCCACTTCCAGTTTTTTGGTAGTTAATTGGAGATAAGAGTCTCCTGGACTTTCCTGCACTGGATGGCATCAAACTGCTATTCTCAGATCTCAGCCTTCTGAGTCGGTAGGATTACAGGTGTGGGTCACCAGTGCTCATCTTCTACTGACATTTATCATAGAAAATGTAACTGAGGGCTGGGAAGGTGGCTCAGTGGTAGAGCACTTGCCTTGCATGCCTGAGGCCCTGGGTTCGATTCCTTAGCACCACATAGGCAAAAAGAAAAAAGCCGGAAGTGGCGCTGTGGCTCAAGTGGTAGAGCGCTAGTCTTGAGCTGAGGAGCTGAAGGACAGCGCCCAGGCTCAGAGTTCAGGTCCCACGACCCGACCTCCCCCCCCACCCAAAAAAGAAGAAAATGTAACTGAACACAATCAGAGAAAAAATCGTTAAGTGGATCTGTAGAGAAGTTGATCCATAAAAACTCTTATAATACCAGGTGCCACTGGCTCACACCTGTAATCTTAGCTACTCAGGAGGCTAAGATCTGAGGATCATGGTTCAAAGCCAGCCCAGACAGAAAAGTTCCCCGAGAGACTCTTATCTACAATTAATCACTCAATAACCAGAAGTGGTGCTGTGGGTCAAGTGGTAGAGCATTAGCCCTGAGCACAAAGAGGCTCAAGGACAGAGCTCAGGCCCTGAGTTAAACCCCACAACAGACTGTCCCCCCTCCAAAAAAAAACCTCTTATAATAATTAAATAAAAGTTCTACCTTGAGTTGTTCTTTGAAAGCAAAGTACTTTCCAGAACAATTAAGTTCATAGTTGAGCTGGCACTTCTGCTCTTCCAGGGTTTCAGTGTCGATTTCATGCTCCAGTTTAGCCACTTCTTTCCCAAACATTCTGTGGTACTCATCCAGAATGGCTTTAGAAATGTTCTTGATCTGCAAGTGGTAGTCACTCACTGCCTAGAAAAATATCAAATATCCGGTAAAGAAGACTCAAAGAGCTAGGAGCCAGTGATTTATACCTTTAATTAAAGCTACTCTAGAGACTGAAATCTGAGAATTGCAATTTGGATCCAGCCTGAGCAGATAAATCCAAGAGACTCTTGTCTCTAACTAACAAGCAATAATCCAGAAGTGAAAATGTAGTTCAAGTGGTAGAGTGTCAGCTGTGTGCAAAAAACCCAAGCAAGAGTATGAAGCCCTAAGACCCAGTATCAGGAGAAAAAAACCCTCAAATATGTACAGATAGACCATGTATTAGAAATTTAAAACTGGAATAGGATTTCTATTTGTGGTATTTGGGGATTGAATCTAGGTCTTGCAATTCTAGACGAATGTTCTACTACTTGAACCATATCTCCAGGACTTAATTTTTTGTTTGGTGATACTGGTGCTAATTAGATAAGCACTCTACCACTTGAGCCATGCCTCCAGATGGATTAAATTTTATATTCAATAGTATCTTAGATATAAATTGTCCATCTCCTCTGAGCACAGAGAGCACCAGCCAAAGACTAGACATTGTATGTTATTCATTGCATGCCATTGATCACAAGTGGAACTGACAATGAAAATGTGTGAGAACTCAAAACAAGTTCTGGAATGCATATTAAAGAGTCCACACCATTTTCAAATGCACTGAGCATCTTCTTACTTATAGTTTCATCCTGGCTTTCATACTTGCCTTCTGAGCTCCTCCTCTCCGACGGGTAAGAGGTGGCCTTGGAGGAATCATTTCCTTAACCCTGGATCAGAAAAAAATATAGATAATACTTGATTATTTGCTGATTTGTATTACGTCCTGCCTGCAAAGAGTCTGTGAAGGAGAGCAAGCACCATTCTATTTTCTCATGTGAACACAGAAAAGTAGGTGACTATGGACTGTAGCAAGGGAGCTAGAAAGCAGCTACTCAGAATCTGCATTATACCTTTGGCTCATTTGAGCTCTGGCTTTACAATGACCAGCTTTGTTTGATTTTTCAATGTGCACAAATGGGCATTTCACCAAGGGTTTGGAAAGCAATGAAGGCCCTCAGCAGTTTCTGAAAGCACACAGATTTGGAAGCCTGATGGCATAGGCAAGTAAAAGTCTTTCTTTTCTTGTAGGATGAAGTGTACACTCGATCCTCATTTACAAATTACAATAATGCTATCAGACTTAAAGTGAGAACATTTTGATACTGTCAAAGTACTTAGGCTAAAAGTTCTGCTTTCCCTATAGAGACGGCTTTATGGGAACTTATGAGGAATAAGCCACAAGGCTGTCCTTATGGTTTCAGATTCCTGCTAACATGTATTTTGCTGATGTCTGCAACCAACCCCACAAACTCAATTTTTCTTAATAGATCCTATGTAATTATACATTTCTGTTCATAATGTTAATCTCATTTATTTTAGTCCATATAATTAAATTTTTAAGGGTATGAAATAACAAGCAGCAAAATATCTCATTCCAACTTGGTTGTTCAGGCTCCTACTTTCCTCCCTCAATGAGGTGATTTACTCATTTGCAGTATCTACCAAAGGCCCATTGTCCATCAGGTACTTTGTTAGCTCTGGGGATAGAACAGTAAGAACAATAGACAAAAACCTTGCTCTCATGGACTTTCTACTAGGAAAAGAAAGATAAAAATGATAAAGAAGATTAATGTGAGCCAGGCACCAGTGGCTCGCACCTATAATCCTAGCTACTCAGGAAGCTGAGATCTGAGGGTCGCAGTTCAAAGCTAGCCCAGGCAGGAAAGTCCAAGATTCTTTTTTTTTTTTCCAGTTGTAGGACCTGAACTCTGGGCCTGGGCGCTGTCCCTCAGCTCTTCAGCTCAAGGCTAACGCTCTACCACTTGAGCCACAGCACCACTTCTGGCTTTTTTTGCTTATGTAGTGGTGAGGATCGAACCCAGGGCCCCATTCATGCAAAGCAAGCACTCTACCACTGAGCCACCATCCCAGCCTTTCTAACCCCCAGAAAACCAGAAGTGGCATTGTGACTCAAGTGGTAGAGCGCTCACCTTGAGCTGAAGAGCTGAGGGACAGCGCCCAGACCCAGAGTTCAAGTCCCACGACCAATTTTTTAAAAAAAGATTATGTGGTAGGGGTATGTGCTACAGAGAAAAATAGTAAAGAGAGACAGACAGACTCTGTTGGGTTTGGGGGCTGGTAGAGTGGGAAGGACTCACTGAGATGATACCATTTGAGAAAAAGACATGAGGGCACAGAGGAAGCAAACCATACAGAGATTAGGGAAAAGATATTTTAGGCTTAGGAACAGTAAGTGTAAACATTTTACTATAAGAATATGCCTAGCATGTGTGAGGAATAGTGAAACAGCCAGGAAATTTGGATGGACTGAAAAAGTGATGACAGAGGTCATGGTGACAGAGTATGAAAAGTTAAGAATTATGTTTATGTATGTGTGATGGGATGATATGTATGTCTATGTGAACGTGTATTACAGAGGTTTTAAAATAATTTCAGAAGGACAGACACTAAGGTAAAAGTGGTTATCACAGCTGGGCATCAGTGGCACATACCTATAATCCTAGCTATTCAGGAGGCTGAGATCTGAGGATCATGGTTTAAAGCCAGCCAAAGCAGGAAAGTCCATATACATTTTTTTTTTAGTTATGAGACTTGAACTCATGGTCTGGGTGCTGTCCCTGAGCTCTTTTGCTCAAAGCTAGCACTTTAGCACTTTTAGCTATAGCTCCACTTCCAGTTTGAGTGGTTAATTAGAGATAAGAGTCTGGGGGTGGGGGGAGGCTGGGAAGGTGGCTCAGTGATAGAGCGCTTGCCTTGCATGCCTAAGGCCCTGGGTTCGATTTCTCAGCACCACATAAGCAAAAAGAAAAAAGCCGGAAGTGGTGCTGTGGCTCAAGTGGTAGAGTGCTAGCCTTGAGCTGAAGAGCTGAGGGA